GGGGGATAGGGAGCTGTGTTGCCCGTGCGTGGGGATGGGTCTCCCACGGGATTGGAGTGCCGTGGAAGCTCCATCATGGCCTGGGGAAGAACAGCCGACGTTGTCCTGATATTGCCCAGCCCGCAGAGTGGCGAGCTCTCCAGTCTCTGGTCCCTCCTGTATCCAGTGTATTCGCCATCAGCTCCGAACATCATTCCTGAGATCGGCGGGGGTTGGGGAGGGGTCAAAGGGTTAAACTGCGTCTCTGATAGGTGTACCCCACTTTGTATTTTAGAATCATAGAATCCCTGCAGTGTGGAAGCAGGCCATTCGGCCCATCAAGACCACACCGACCCTCTGAGGAGCATCCAGTAGACGCTACGGGACGATTTCCCACGGCCAATGCACCGTAACCCGCACGTCCCTGGGTACTACGGGACAATTTAGCACGGCCAATCCACCCTAACCCGCACATCCCTGGGCACTACGGGACAATTTAGCACGGCCAATCCACCCTAACCTGCACATCCCTGGGCACTACGGGACAAATTAGCGCGGCCAATCCACCCTAACCTGCACGTCCCTTGCCACTACGGGACAATTTAACATAGCCAATCCACCCTAACCTGCACAGCTTTGGCCTGTGGGAGGAAAGCAGAGCACCCGGAGGAAACCCACGCAGACACGGGGGTTGGGGCGGGAGGGTGGTGGTGTTGGTAGTGTGAGGGGGAAAATGTGCAAACTCCACACAGACAGTTGCCCAAGTGTGCTGGTCCGTGCAAGTACACACACACACTCTTGTATCTTTGTGTGCCTATGAGGGCTTGTAGCACCCTGGGAATCAGCGGGATCTTGCTGTGCATGTCTGCCTCTCCCTTAAAGTCAGCTGGATCAAGTGGTGAGGGAGACTTGTGACGTATTTGCCTTTATTAGTTGGGACAAGGTTTAGAAGCAGGGAGGGGGAGGCTGGGAACTGTATAAAACGTGGGTTAGGCCACATGGCGAGAGTGCGGGTGCGCGGTTCTGGAATCCACGTTATGGGAGGGAGGTGATGACACCGGGAGAGGGGGGCAGGGGGTGATTTACCAGGATGTTGACCCCCACCCCACCCCTCCCCGTGGGGGATGGAGAGAGATTGGACGGTCTGGGGTTTGTTTTCCTGAGAGCAGAGGAAGGGAACAGGATTGAGATGGATAAAATGACAAGAGGCATTAATAGGGGAGACAGGAAGGAACTTTTCACCCTTGTCTGTGCCTGTGCCTGTCTGCCTGTTTGGTCCTGTGCCCGGTCCGTGCCGTCAATACTGTGAGAGATACAGAGACACACACACAGAGACATTAACCCGATGTGTGTGCCTCTCTGCCCAGGTTGAAGATGACGTCTCTGACACAGACAACAAGAACTGCAATGATGACAGCCCGTGCAGCAAGGTAATTCCATACACCATTCCTCTCCTCCCCCAGGGGGAAAGGGACGGGGGTGGTGGGGGTTAGTGTGAAACCGATGTGGGCCCACCTTCCTGTCCTCCTGCGAATGCTGCCAGGACCCAGAGTCCCTGCAAACGCACACACCGTCAAGTTTCCCACCCTCCCCTTCCTGAGGGAGAGAGTGAGCTGAAGGGGGTTAAATCCCAAACAGCGACTCAGTGCCTACTGTCCCTGAGTGGTGGGGGCGGGGGGCGCGGTGGAGTCTAATTGAGGGGCCTTGGGGTATGTTCCTGGAGGGAGGAGTCGGGGAGGCACTTCTTCCGACAACGGCAAGGGGGAAAATCTGGGATGGTGCCCGTCCCTCCAACCCCCCGTTTCCCCACCTCCCCCCAAATAAAGGGCTGTCGGGGCATGAGGCAGTGAATTGGATGTGACTCCAATCTGTGTATTGGGTCCCCACAGGGCATTTGATGGCCATTTGGACAGAGAATTCAGCGCAGGGATGCAGGGGGTGGGGAAATGGCAGCAAACTGGCTATAGGGAAGGATAGAACCAGGGCAGGCTCGATGGGCCAAATAGCCTCCGCCTGCTCTGAGAGAATTCGGTGATTCTGTCATTTGCTGGGAAGGCTGGATGTCTGTGACACGCTGCTCCCTCCGCAAGGTGCAGAGGCAGCTTTGTAGGGTCTTTCCATCCCCCCCCCGAGGGGCTGAATGGCTGTCCCCCACCAGCGAGCAGTTTGACAAGAGCAAGTGTGGCCAGCCTGTTGGGTGTTTGGCTCACAGCTGCCGGAGGGTCGGCGCCGAGGGGGCGGGCGCTGCCGGAGGGTCGGCGCCGAGGGGGCGAGCGCTGCCGGTGGGTCAGCGCCGAGGGCAGTGCTGTAATCCGGGACGGGATGTTTAGCTGTCCCAGACCTGTGATGTGTGTGTGTGTGTGTGTGTGTGTGTGTGTGTGTGTGTAACCCACCGCACGGTGACCGAGTCAATGTGAGGTTGACGGATTTCTCACCATTAAAATAGGGATAACGTTTATCCCTCCAGAAGTCAGAGGATTGCAAACTGTTGGCCTTTATTTGCTGGAACTTCCTGTGGTCAAGCTGAAGCCACGTCACAGCAGCGATGACGCTTCAGAATAAAGTTGCGCTGATTTGTTTTATGCCCATCACTTCTTACTGAGACCCGGAACTTGTTGCACATCCCTACTTGCCCCTCGAGTTGAGTGTCTCGCTCAGGGGGCCATTTCAGAGAACGGTTGAGAGTCGCCCCCATTGCTGTGGGTGGTCTGGGGTCACGTGTAGTCTCAGCCCTTAGGAAGAGGAGGTCCGGTTTTCTTCCCCCATTAGCGACAACGCCCCCCCTCCCCACCCCCGATGGGGGGATTTTACCACAATCAATGACGGTCACTGTCTCTCGAGACCAGCTCCCGATTCTGGATTTGAGTTGTTGAATTTAAATTCCGTTCTGGGTTTGCTGTGGGATTCGACCCCGTGGGACCCACCCCCCCAACTCCCCAGAGTGTTAGCCCCTGGATTAATAGTGACATTCCTGTTCTACCACCTCCTATCCATTGTTAAGCACTTTGGGACATCTAGAAGGCGCTGCCGACCTGCAGTGAGGTGTTTGGGATTGAAACCGTTGTGTCCAGCCGAACGCGTTGAGAACTGAAACAACGTGGCCTGTTGGTAATGGATTCGTTGTGACTTCTTCCCCACGGACTCCCTCTGCTGGTACAAGTGCGCACAGGTCACCTCAAACGGTGATGCACTAAGAATTCGCGCAGTGCACGACCTAAAGCTTACATTCAGATCTTTTCTCTCTCTTTCCCACCGCACTGCCCTCCCCCACCCACTGCACTGCCCTCCCCCACCGCACTGCCCTCCCCCACCC